CGGCGGCGCAGAAGAAGACTTTAGACGACAGACGGCTGGGTCGGGGGATTAGTCCTGTTGTCGTGGACGAGGCAGTCGTAGGAGCGGCAAAAGCAAGGTGGATGAAGGCACCAATGAAGTGAGAGGACGCGATGAAAGGATCCTGGTCCAGCACCATGGATGAGAGACATCCATCTCTTGTAGTGGACGATGGGGTAGGGGTAGCGGCTCCGGCAAGGTGGAGGATGGGGTGGCAGATAGAGGAGCCTGGCCGCAGTGGGGAGGTTGTTGTGGCACCGATGATGTATGAATGGGGAAATGGAGGGGGGTCTCAAACTTTAGGACACGGTTGTCTGAAATGTGGGAAAGTTATGAACTTATCCCCCATTTAAAATTCCGGACATCACATCGGTTGGGGATAGGACGGTAATCTCGCATCTCCTCAATATTTGCCGGTAGCGATTTCCAGCGATTTCGGGCGAGGAGAGGGTGTTTTGCCGCCCATGGTTGGCGCCTACGGTGTATGAACGAGGCTGACAGGTAGGGCGGTTGTGTCACGTCTAAGGGAAGTTACACATCTGCCCCTATTTAAAATATTTGCCTACATCAAATTTCGGACGAGGAGAGTTTGTTTTGCCGCCCACCATGTATGAATGGAGAAATGGAGGGAGACACACATGTCTTTCAGACAAGCTTGAATCAAATGTGTTTTTCCGCCCACGTTTGGTGCCCACCATGTCTGAATGGGCTGAGAGGCGGTCGTGTCACGTCTGATTGAAGTTACTAGTCTACCCCTATCAACAGCAGTGGAAATCAGTTCGATTAGGATGTGAAGTGTCAGGAGTAGACACTAATTTCCATCTTGCAAACACTTGCTTCGGGCAGCCGACAAATGATAGTGGGTGTGTTACCACTTTGTTCAAAATTTGGGAGAATTAGCATTCATGCTTACCCTGGGCCCTTGGGTTCAACCGCCGTCAATCTCATCCATGGCCATGCTGCTAATCTCCTCTGGCTCGCTGTCAAGAATTTTCCATCCTACATCACCGTCGAGCCACTTTTGTCATTTATGAAGGACACGCTCTACGACGCTGGCTTGGGATCCACAACTGCAAAGTCAGACCTCATCGACGTCGACCACGAGGAGGGCACCCTCTCCGTCTCTTCCAAGGGGAAAGATTCCATCTGCGACATCGGCGAGGGCACCCTACACTCGTGCTCTTCCAAGGGGAAGGATCCCATCTGCGACAACATGGAGCGCACCCAGGTTTCGTGCTCTTCCTACGGGAACGAGCCCATCTGTGACAAGTGAGGCAGCCCATGATTTGTTTTGTCGTTCCTCTTCACATGGGGGAACCCATGATTTGTTTTGTCGAGCCACTTTTTTAGTGTAGTGAGAATATGTCCAGTTTTAATTGCTATATTTGGTTGTTTGCAGTATGCCTTGTTTATTTCACTTGTTCACAATGTGATGCTCTATATGTGCAACTATTTACTGTGCAGTACATTTTCATCAATACCAGTTTTAAACATACCGATAGGAATGTATATATTTGCTTGTTGTTAAGCCTGTTATAGCTAGCATATGTCTCTTTTAAAGTTTTTTGGTTGTACGGTTGTTTAGTTAGCATATGTCCAGTTTCAAATGCTATCTTTGGTTCTTCGTAGTATGCCTTGTTTATTCCAGTTATTCATAACATGATGTTCTATATGTGCAAGTATGAACCATGCAATTCAATTTCATCAATAAAAGTTTCAACAATACCACTATGAATGACCACATTTGGTTGCTATTAAGCATGTTGTAGTTAACACGCCTTTCCATTTTTATTAATAGTAACTAGTGTACTTAGACCAGCACAATACCAGTTTGAATGACTATATTTGATTCTTGTTAAATGTTAGGCCTGTTGTAGTTAACACACCTTTCCACTTCTTGTTTTTATTAACTAGCATGCTTAAACCTGCATAGTGAAGCTATCTTGGAGATTATTTTGTCTGCCATGGATATATTTGGTTGATGTTTAGCTTGGTGTGCTTAACATGTCTCTCTATGTACTTACACGGGACAATTTTGAGAACGACTGATGTTTTTCATCAAGGTTAGTTTCATTCCATGGCTTATATATACTCAGTGTTCAGGATAGTGGTAGCTGGTTATATATAGGCCCGGGGCTGATAAGGGATTAATCAGTAATACAGACTTTTAACTGAGTATATCTGTAACCCATTTATCGGTAGGTTAACTAGGGCCATATCTAATATATCTAAGGCTACATAGCAACATGAACTATACTGAATGTCAAAATATGCAATCCTAGGCTACATAGCAACAAAGAAGAGTGTTACCTTAATGTTCTGATGATGTCTAGATGTACGTAGAAGAGCAGCAGCAACAACAACAATACAGCAGCAGTTAACCGGCTGATAATTTGTAAAAATGCAATAAACTCCCTCCGGCCCATAATATAATATGTTAATTCATCCAATATGTGAGTACATTGGATGTTAAGATATTATATAATGGGACAGATGGAGTGTTGTACTACATCATTGTGTAATTGTTGTTTAGCTTCTAACATTAACTTGGTGTTTTTAGGTACATATGTCATTGGTAAAGATCCGCGCTTCGACCCTTTCTACGTATGGGGCAATGAGATATTGATGAACTAGCATCAAGTGAGGAAGCTGATAAAGATTGTCAGTAAAATGGGTCAAAAGATGGGAATTAAACTATTTGTTTACACTTTATCCAAGACAACAACCAACTCCAGGATGGTAAGTAAGAACTCTACATCCTTCTTTTTACTGCCCATAATGAGTTGTGTTAGATGATAATGTCTGAATCTTTTTCCTTTACACTGGTTCCCAAAACAGCTTACTCATGATTACCTCTCAAACTTCATGATTGGTGGGAATGCAAAGGTTAAAGTATTTCTACCAGAACACGATGATTATCTAGATGTGTTCATGAAGACAGTGAAGGATGGGCAGTCGACCATCACAAGGGGTTGGGATAGATTCGTCTGTACCTTCTGCATGGAGGAGGGCACAATATGGGCATTCCGCTTCACCCTGTTCAGCAACCAGAAAGTATTTTGCCTTTTTCTTTATCGTCTTTAATAGTACAAGTATACAATTGTGGTTCATTATTCTTTATTTGGTGCTTATGTAATTCTTGAACATATGTACCTATGAGTCGAATAATGCATTGGTTCTTTGAACCTGATGGATATGAATAAATTTATAGCATACTTTCAAATTCAAATTCAAATTAGGTACAATTTTAAATAGCAACAATTAAATAAGGGTGAAATTACGCTCTGCAGGTTGTTACAGCGCACACGGTCGGTAAAACACAAATGTGTGTGATATACACCATAATCTGACACGGTTCACAGAGAGGAAACATGTGCGAGCATGCACATAGTTGTTGTTTACAAAGCGTGTGTGGTGTCAGACAATATCACAAACGGTGTGAGCAAACTAAATGTTTGTGATAGGTGCCTTATCGTACATGATTTACAATCATGAACTGTTTCTCATGTGGTACGCATTGTAAACTTTGCACCAAAGAATAGCGTGTGCGATAGTATCATGTACGACACTGTTACGACGGTTTGATGTTTCGTGATCCTATCCAACACTTGGACGATGATTAGCTAATCTTCTTAATTAGTAACCGCATACGGTTCGAGCAGAGTGAATGTGTGCGATTTTGTTCTTATCATACATGTTCTATACTCGTAAACTGTTCGTGATGGGCCGCGCATCGTAAACGTAGCACCACAGAATACCGACTTCAGTGGTAATGCTAGCGCAAACGAGTAGCAAGAATGGAGCGTTTGGGATATTCAAGATATCGGAAACAGTTTTATAGGGACAATTGTATGCATCATGGCTCCCTATCCCCGACGGTTTCTGGTTCATGTGGGAAGGACCCCCCTATCGCCCACACTCGCCTGGCAACGGTTTAAAATGTCGTCGCGAAAAGGGGTTAAAACCGTTTGTATAGCAGCTCGTTGTACCAATGACCACACTACCAACTGCTCCATTAGGAGTAGAAATTTTGCATGAATGGCTATTACAAACGACGACGACTACCAAGTATTGTAGCACATATTTTTTTAATGAATTTATTAACATTTCAATGGCCACACTTGATTTCAGAATGTAGCTTGTCTGGCTTTCTACATGACTGATAAGAAATATAATATGATCACGTCCATGAACGTATGTACGTGGCGGTCTGACGACCCGCCTTCCCCCACGGCCGTCCTCGATGCCGTGATGCACGCCCTGACATTCTTGAGTATCACCCTAACAACACGCCCGGCTACGGTGTGCTTCATGGTGTCCCGCACTGCATCCATCCGCAGGGGCGTGCAGATGCGTACGGCCAAAAGGAAATGATATATTATTTTTGTGATATTAGGAAACTTGTGATTGTCAATTAATAGTAGAGATAATGATAATGATAGTAATAAATGACATAGTGCGTCAGATTAATGATTTTTATTGAGAAATATCTCATTTTGTTTTGGAAGGTTATCAAGAAATATATTATGTTTATATTTTAGGAAGGTGATCTCATATATATGGTGCGATTTGTAAATTCTTAATTACCGATTATTTACATGATTAAAATGAATCAACATGTGCCAAAGCAATCACGAAACAAGATCTCCCTTTAATGAGATTTGGTTTTTTTAATGAGCAAGGGAAAATTCAGTTGGAGAGGTGGTGAGAGGAAATAAAACCGGAGTACCAGGCTAACATGTGCTCCATTAGGAGTAGAGACATCAACATCATGTCACACATATATTGAAGACACGAGATATGTCATATATTTGACTTTTATTTTTCACACATATCTTGAAGACACGAGATATGTCATATCTTTGACTTATATTTCTCTTCAGATATCATCATCCATGGCTATAAGAGATGTCATAGACCATTTGGATGTGCATCTTTTGTGTTCTCTCTTACCTGCCTTCAAACCGTATATTACTTGAGACATGGGAACCCTCAATGTGACAATCCTTTTATGTTTTCTACTCCTCATGCCACTCCATTTAGTTCCTGGTAAATATTTTTAAAAATAATCCCCTGCAAGAACAATGCACTTCCTCAATGCATGGTCTATACGTTTGCTAGCCATATGTGTAAATTATACTACTTATCTTACATTCTTTTCTTTTGTCCCTTCAGAATATTGTAGGATCTAGTTTTTCATGCACCATATTTTGATTATTGTATTGTAGGTTCAGAGGCCAAGACGTGCAAAGAGCTCAGTGGGGCATATACCGCTTCACGTTGTGATCAGGCTGAATGTGTTGTGGCTTGCCGCAAGGAGGGCCTTACCCAAGGGGACTGTGAAGTTATTGTCAAAACAAAAAAATTTATGGTACTTTGTTTTTGCAAAAGAGAGTGTTGAAGAAGAAACGTGTTAAGGCTGTGGAGGATGTGTTGTAGCAATTAATAAGATTATTTAGCAAGAAGAACTAATAATGATGAGTGGTAAATTTTGTGACTCTGCCAAGTTGTCTTTATGTTTTGGTTCAAAACACACACATGAATATCTAACTCATGCCAATAAAAACTTGCATGCTAGAAATATTAGATTCATGTGACCATGAACCCTAATTTTCCAGCCTGGTAAAGTGTGTGTTGCAAAAATGATGTGTTCTTTGTGACTGGTTGCATATATATCCGCAACAACAAGAATTTCTTAGATCATGAGACTCGCTCCCTGATTTTCTGAAGTAATAACAAGTGAACAAAGAAGATGTGTGAGCCTAATGAATATGATTTTTATGTATGAATTATAGAGATATGAAAGAGGACGCCATAAAAGTGGCACACAACTATTATTTTCCAAAGATGAAAATGGAACTCTTATAAGTCTGGTGCACTCCTAAGTGACTGCGGCCAAATGAAATAATAAGGAGAACATTCGTTTTGTAAACCCTTTGGAGTGTAAATGGATCAGAACAGATTTATCTCATACCATATCCTTTACCATATTATTTTCTTAGATTAATTGCGGATCCGATATTGATGGGTTGTGGACTCGAATGCGGATATAACGGACCACGGATTCAAATCGGAAGCGGGGCAGACTTGGACCGAAAACCAAAGTATTTGAATCAACAACCTGTTAGGTAGGTAATTATATTCCTAGAAACGTTTGAGAAGGGTTTAAAATTTTGGCCTTGCATGAATCAATTAGTTAATAAAATAAATATATGATTTAGGCTAAAATCCGAGCTTGGTGAGATGGTATCAATAAAATTGAATAATTAAACCATCAACTCTACTAGTGATAAAATTCATAGTTGGACATGCTAGTCAAATGAACTTGATAACTCCATAATTAGTATCTCTATCATATTAGACTAGGATTGTTTTACTCAAAAATCATATTATCCGGTTTGAAACTCTAAGACAATTCTAGTTGATTTTCGGATAATCCGTATCTGCATGCTATATGATACCGTACCCGAAGAATCACTTTGGAATAGGATATTACGTATCCACATGATTCTTTAAAATTAGATATGGATACTTTAAAGCAGATTAATTGCCGAATATGGTGCCAAAATTATCCTATCTGCTGACTCTTATATAAGCCCTGAACGTAGTGTGGGATGGACCATGAGTTTAACATGTAGTATCACCATAGACTACTGCAGGAAGGTCCTAACGCGACACATGTATAGGAGACCATTCGACCAAACTATGTGTGATGCATGAATCACAAAAGGTATGGTAATAAAACCGTCACCAATAAAATAAACTGTGCGCGATGGCGGATCAATCAAGAACGATTCAGAAAAGAGTTGCGTGTGCAATAAGTGGCATACAGTTGGTCCATACAAACTGTTTGCAATGACACAAAACAACAAAAACAGTTAGCTAGATCAAAGTGTGTGCGATAGACGATATAAAGGTCACTCAGATGAACTGTTTGCGATAAGCTAAACCAACAAAAATGGTTATCCAGATCAATTTGTGTGCGTTAGCACTATAAAAAAATTACACTTCCGTGATGATACGTGTTTGTCATAGTAGGTCATGTTTTCTGTCATGCATGTACATCCATGACAATTTTTCTAACAGGAATCAAGATAGTCATAGCTGTGCTTCGTAGAAGTGTTCCATCACATTACCAAAATTATGATCACGGAAGTGTCCACTTCCATGACAATAAATCACGCGTCATAGAAGTGATTTCGTCAAGGGTGACAGACACATGGCATCCACCATAACATGTTGCCGTTAAGCTATCAAGTTCCGGTTTGGATCCGATAACCTGTTAACTGCCCCGACCAATGGGGATTTTCCACGTGTAAAATTCTCATTCACCGGATAATGCTCGTGTCAGCTCATCGTTGGGACATATGTCATCCTTACAATGGACGAAAGACACCCATGATATGTCAACATGTGGCACAGCCCAACAGTGGCCCATTTAAGGTAAAAAGGTCGGCCCAGCTAAAGTCCCACCATATTTTTTCAGTCACTAGTGGGTTGGCCCACTAACAGCCTGCCATGTTTTGGGTCGAATTGAGACCCATATCAGATCACCCTCTTTCACGGCCTGTCATGTTTTGGGCCAAACTACGGCCCATATCGGATCAGGCCCGTTAACAGGCCACTATTATTTTGGGCCCATTCTAAGCCAGGCTTGTATTTCAGCCTGTTAAATTCCCGTTTACCAATTCAGCCCGATAATTCCCGTTTAACTTTAGGACATTTAACATCCCATGCAGAAACTGGGCTATTTCTTGTCTGAAGTAACTTTAGGCCTCTTAACAGCCCGTAGTCTTCGTGGATAAATTTCATCCCAACTGGCCTATCGGCCTGTTAATGGCCCTTGTAGTAGTTGGGCCTAATTACAACCCACGTTGAATCCAGCCTGCTTACAGCCCATCTGATAATGGCTCATGAAACTGTTGGGCCTACGGCCCGCGTTGATACCGGCCTTCTTAAAGCCCATAAATTTATTGGGCCAAATAGGGCCTGAGATATATTTTGCCCTGTCAACGACTCGTCCTATTTGGGCCTAGGAAGTTTCAGCCTGTATTGACCCATGAATTTTTTGGCTCAATGCTAGCCCAATCTAGTTTTTAGCCTGCTAAAAGCCCATGGTATTCTTTGGCCCAGCTGGCCTGAACTTTACTCGGCCTATTAAAGGCGGAAAATTACTGTACGTCTAGACCTGCTAATGGCCCAAGATCATTATAGGCCCACGTTTTGGCCCACATGAGTAACGGGCCGGCCTGAAGACCGACAACATTGAGATCCATTGAACCTTCCGGCCTAAATTACAGCATTGCGACCAAGATTAAACCTAGACTATACAATAAAGAAATTACGGCATATTACATCCCCTGGGAATCAAAGTTCACCACCGGTGATAATAAAGCGCAACGTGACCGCGGATTACATACATTGGGCATCAAAGGAGGATAAAGAAGCAAACATTTACAGTGATGCTACATAATCAAACAACAATGAGTGTAAGTATGCTGACAAAGGGCAAGAGGTACTGACAAGAGCAATGCAGTGCACATTATTGTTGTGAGATCCTATGATCCTTTGAGCAAAGAGATTCATCTGAAATTAGTTTTCATACAAGAGAGAAGGTAAGGCACATGCAGAAATTTAGGACTTCAAATTTTGAAATGATATCATAGACAGTACCTGACGCTGGGCTCTCTACAGTTCTAATAGGGGTTTGGCCAGTGGAGTAGGGGTAAAGTTTGGTACAGTTGGGCGTTTGTTTTCGGTGGCTGCTGATCTATCTGATTTAACAGGTATCACTACCTTTTCCAAATACCTAGTTTGTACTCCTTGAGGATCTACACTCACCCTCTTCCTTTTGGACATCTATTACGAAAGAACAACATTTGACTGGAAAAACATAGTATGATAACACATGGAATAGGTACAGAAAATGGATAGGTATGTCATATACTCATATATGATGCTTAAACTAAGTAGATGGTGTTGTAACAAAGTAGAAGTAATGCAAGAGGTCATTGTCGGTGTCAAAAACGGCGGATCTCGGGTAGGGGGTCCCGAACTATGCATCTAAGGTCGATGGTAACAGGAGACAGGGGACATAATGTTAACCCAGGTTCGAGCCCTCTCTATGGAGGTAATACCCTACTTCCTGCTTGATTGATCTTGATGAATATGAGTATTACAAGAGTTGATCTACCACGAGATCGTAATGGCTAAAACCTAAAAGTCTAGCCTGTCTGACTATGATTATGGGGATCTATCTACGGATCTATCCCTCCGATTTATATAGACACCGGAGGGATCTAGGGTTACATAAGGCCGGTTACAGAGGAAGGAATCTTCATATTTGGACGCTAAGCTTGCCTTCCACGCCAAGGAGAGTCCCATCCGGACACGGGTAGAGTCTCCGGTCTTTGTATCTTCACAGCCCATTAGTCCGGCCCATATCTAATAGGTTGGATGCCCGAGGACCCCTTAGTCCAGGACCCCCTCATTAGCCCCTGAACCAGGCTTCAATGACGAGGTGTCCGGCGCGCAGATTGTCTTTGGCATTGCAAGGCGGGTTCCCCTTTCCGAATACTCCAAGATAGTCTTCGGTCGTGACAAACGTGTCCGGATCTGCAACACAAGTACCACGCACAACCGCGGGGAGTATAATATATCACGAGTCCAATCCGTCGACAACTTTTTGTAATGTGACATCACGTTTGCCCGGTCATTATTTCGAACCATTTCTTGTCCTGCTGTTCCACGTTTCTAGGCGTGGTTTTATTGGCATGTCTTATCAAAACAGATATCGTGTCCCCTTATTGTGGGATTCTCATCAATACGGGCGTGGGTAACCCAACCGTTCCATTAGAATGATCCCTTCGGAATAGGCAGGTTTTCAGGCTTAGGAGGAGGCGTTCGATATCCATTGCCTTTATAAAGGGGCAAAGGGTCGTCTTATTTTGTGCCAACCCTTTCCTTAGCCCTTCCAACTTCGAGTTCCAGCACCCGAGGTTCAACTCCATTGCTTCAAGCTGCCCACTCATGTCCGGACCTAGCCTCCAGGGCCGATGGGTGGCTTCCTCTGTTATAGAGGAGGACATTGCGAAGCTTCGTGCGGCCAGATACCTGACCGCGGAGATCCCCGACAGGCGTCCTGCTCGAGGACAGGTTATTCCTACTCCCAGATCCGGCGAGAGGGTCGTATTCATCTCCCACTTCCTGCGAGGGCTAGGATTCGCTCTTCATCCCGTCGTCGGGGGGCTCATGTTGTACTACGGACTAGATTTTCAAGATCTAGCCCCAGATTCTTTCCTCCACATCTCGACGTTTATTGTCACGTGCGAGGCCTTTCTCCATATTCCCCCACACTTCGGCTTATGCCTCAAGACCTTTAGTGTGAAGCCAAAGGGAGTC